ACACTGACCGGTACTGACCCACACTGACCTGTACTGACCCACACTGACCTGTACCGACCCACACTGACCTGTGCTGACCCCTGGTGACCCACACTGATGGTGCCAATCCAGGCTGCCCCCCACTGACTCCAGTTGCCCCACATTTTCCTTTCTGCAGGCGAGAAGCCCCACCAGTGCTCCATCTGCTGGCGCTCCTTCTCCCTCCGGGACTACCTGCTCAAGCACATGGTGACGCACACGGGCGTCCGTGCCTTCCAGTGCGGCGTCTGCTGCAAGCGCTTCACCCAGAAGAGCTCCCTCAATGTCCACATGCGCACGCACCGCCCCGAGCGTTTCCAGTGCCGCCTCTGCACCAAGGGCTTCTCCCACCGCACCCTCCTGGAGCGCCACGCTGCCACCTCGCACCCCGTGCCCCCGCCGGGGCCGCCGCCGGGGCTACCACCGGGACCGCCGCCGGGGCTACCACCGGGGCTACCACCGGGACCGCCGCCGGGGCCGCCGCTGGGGCCGCCGGCAGAACCTGGACTGGGCACGTGGCCAGGGCCGGACGCTGCAGGTGCTGGTCCCACTCACACGGCGTGAAGGGGAGACCCTGCCCCTCGAAGAGCCTTGAGGGTGGACCTGGGGGCTCCTCGGTGCCTGCGGGTCCGGTGGAGCATCCGGGGTGAAGCCTGGAGGAAGCGGCCGAGACGCTCTCCGTCGGATTCGGGAAGTTGTGGGGGTGTTCCCAGCGACAGGAGAAGGGGACCAGGACACCCCAATGGGAACGGGGACGTGGGGAACGTCCGGGGCTCCTTGCAGCACCAGGATGGTGGAACAAATCCTGCTGGGAACTGCGCTGGGGCACCTGGAATCCAGGAGGAGGTGGGCGATGGCCAACGTGGCGTCACTGAGGAGCTGGGGAAGCTCAGTGGCTCTGGTGGTGGCGGGTGATGACATCAATGACCCGATGGCACCGCCAGAACATTCTGGAACTGAGCTGGGCACAGGGATTGGATGGATGGACCATACCATGAGGCCAGAGGAGGCCATGCAGATGCTCGGAGGGCTGGACAGAGTTGAGGTGTCCCACCTGGAGAAGGGAAGGACCTGGGGACACCTGAGAGCCCCTTCCAGTGCCTGAAGGGGCTCCAAGGGCTGCAGAGGGACTTTGGACAAAGGCCTGGGGTGCCAGGACACAGGGGATGGCTTCCCACTGGAAAAGGGGCGACGGAGGTGGAATTTTGGGGAGAAATCCCTGCCTGTGAGGGGCTGGAATGGCTTTCCCAGTGAAGCCGGGTCAGTGGAAGGTCCCTGCCCATAAAGCATTTCATGGCTCTGTGACCCAACCCTGGCCACAGAGGGACACCTGGAGGGACACAGGGTCCCTCCTTGTCCCCTCCCCAGCACGTGGCTCCTGTCCCCTCAGACGGTGACAACAAACACAGGGGTTTATTGAGTGTTCTGGTGCCGTTATTGCCGTTTTTTACACTAAAAATCTCTGACATCCCTGCAACGTGTCCCCTGCTCAGCCTTGGCACGTGGCCACCGGGAAGGGCTGTGCCCGTTCGTGGCCACGTCAAGGGCCCAAACCCATCCCTGTGGCCACTGGCCACGTCCCCCCTGGCTCAGTTTCTCCAGCCGTGGGTGCTGGTGGCCACGCCATGTCCCCACGGCCACCGGCCGTGTCACGGCTCCATCACAAACCCCCCTGAGATCCACACGGGGACCTCCCAGAGCCCCCAGGACACAGCCGGGGGACGTGGGGGCGGGGACTTGGGGACACTGAGGAGGACACTGGGGACACTCTCAGGGCCACCGGTGCCCAGGGCCCCTCAGCCATTGGTCCCAGTGCTGCCCAGGGCCCTCCCAGTAATGTCCCCAGTAGCCACCAGGGTGGTCCCAGCATCCTCAGTAACCCTCCGTGCTCTCCCAGTAACGCCCAGTGTTCCCAGTAACTCCCAGTGTTCCCAGTAACCTCCAGTGATCCCAGTAATTCCCAGTGATCCCAGTAACCTCCAGTGTTCCCAGTAACGCCCAGTGATCCCAGTAACGCCCAGTGATCCCAGTAACTCCCAGTGATCCCAGTAATTCCCAGTGATCCCAGTAACTCCCAGTGATCCCAGTAATTCCCAGTGATCCCAGTAACCCCCAGCAGTCCCAGTAACCCTCTGCCCCCCAGTGCTCCCTGAGCTCCTAGTGAGCTGCACTGATCCCAGTAACTCCCAGCGTTCCCAGTAACCTGCAGTGTTCCCAGTAACCCCACGTGATCCCAGTAACCCGCAGTGTTCCCAGTAACCCCACGTGATCCCAGTAACCCGCAGTGTTCCCAGTACCCCTCCGTGCTCTCCCAGTAACGCCCAGTGATCCCAGTAACCCCCAGTGTTTCCAGTAACCCCCAGTGATCCCAGTAACTCCCACGTGATCCCTGTAAGTCCCAGTGATCCCAGTAATTCCCAGTAACGCCCAGTGTTCCCAGTAATTCCCAATGATCCCAGTAACCCCACGTGATCCCAGTAACCCTCTGCCCCCCCAGTGCTCCCTGAGTTCCCAGTGAGCTGCAGTGATCCCAGTAATTCCCAGTGATCCCAGTAATTCCCAGTGATCCCAGTAACTCCCAGTGTTCCCAGTAACCCCACGTGATCCCAGTAGTCCCACGTGACCTCAGTACCTCCCAGTACTCCCAGTCCCGCCCCAGTTCCGCTCCCCATTGTTTTGTCCAGCTGTCGATCACAGCCTCGGCCCCGCCTCCTCGCAGAACGCCAATGCTGATTTGCCAGTCCGTCCAAGAAGTCCCCGTCTTCCCCGTGGGACTTCGGCCGCTGATTGGTTCGCCTCCCGCCGCCCTGCGCGCTGATTGGTCCGTTCACGTTCACGTGCCGGGGGGCGTATTCCCGCCAATTCTTTCCCGCCTGCTCCTCTCCCATTGCTCCAGTGCACTGTCAATCTCCGCTAGTCCCCGCCCCTCTGCCCTGCCATTGGTTCTCCGCGCTGTCAATCTGGCAGCACGTCGATGATTGGCTGCGTTCCAGGGCGGGGGGCGGGAGGAGGAGGTTGTGTGGGGGCTGAGGGGGGACGCGGCAGCCATGTCGGTGCCGCTGCCGCTGCCTCTGCCGGCGGCGATCGGGGACGGTCCCGAGGCGAAGGGAGCGGAGCCGCCGGAGCCGCTGGAGCTGCTGGAGCTGTGCGGCGCCTGCCGGGAGCGGCTCAGCCCCCAGCGGGAGCCGCGGTTGCTGCCTTGCCTGCACTCCGTGTGCCGGGGCTGCCTCGGGGCCGCGCCGGGAGCCTCCGGCAGCGACGGGCGGGGTGAGGGGGAGGTGTGAGGTGGGAGCACTGGGAACGCTGAGGAGCATTGGGAGTGACCTGGATCACTGGAGTTTAATTTAGGGCTTTCCGGGGGAATTACTGGGAGCTTTTTGGGGTTTACTGGGAATGCTGGGGGTGACTGGGATCACTGGGTTATGGAGGGCACTGAGGGTTACCGAGAGCTCAGGGAGGCCCTTGGAATTATCGGGATCACTGGGAATTCCTGGGTTGCTGCAGGGATTACTGGGAGCTTGGGGAGCTCTGTGGGGAGGGGGGGACCCCTCTATCCACCCCTATATCCAGCCCTATATCCACCCCTATATCCACCCCTATATCCCCCCCTATATCCACCCCTATATTCACCCCTATATCCACCCCAGTGACCCTCTCTGGTGGGTGTCCCATCCTGGGGGACACCGACCCCATTGGTGACTCCTCCAGCCCCATCTCCCTCTCTGGGGAGGTTTTGGGGGCTCCAGGGACCTCTCTGAGGTGACCTCAGTGGCCCTGGGGCTCCGTTTTGGGGGTCCCGAGCCCCCACCCCACAAAGGAGCCGGCGTTTGGTGACAAACGGAGGTGGTGGAGGAGGGTGTGGGGTGACTTTGTCCTCTCTCTCTGTCTCAGTGTTTGACTGCCCCGTGTGCCACCAGCAGTGTCCCCTGGGTGACATCATGGAGAACTTCTTCCTGCAGGAGAGCGTGGCTGGGACAGCCCTCGGCCAGGGCAGCGGGCAGGTACTGCCTCGTTAGTGCTAATTAGTAATTACTGGGGGGGGAGGGAGGTGCCCCAGCGTGTCCCTTGTCCCCAGAGCTGCACCAGCTGCGAGGACAACGCAGCAGCCACCAGCTTCTGCCTGGAGTGCGCGGAGCCGCTGTGTGACACCTGCGTGGACGCGCATCAGAGGGTCAGGTACACCCGGGACCACAACGTGCGGGCCTTGGGTGAGTCCTTGTCACCCCCCTGTCACCTCTGTCACCCCCTGTCACCTCTGTCACCCCCTGTCACCCCCCGTCACCCCCTGTCCCTGCCCTCTCCAAGGTGCTGACCCTGTCAGTGCATCCGTCCTGGTGCCGTTCCCAGTGCCGTTCCCAGCGTCACCCCAATGTCATTCCCGTGTTCTCTCGGTGCCATCCTGGTGCCATCCTGGTGCTATTCCCAATCCTATCCCAGTTCTGTTCCTGTGCCATTCCCAGTGCCATCCCTGGTGCCATCCCAGCCCCATTCCTGGTTCCAGTCCCAGTGCCAGCTTCGGGCCCATCCCAGTTCTGTTCCCGTGCCATTCCTGGTACCATTCCCAGTGCCATCCTGGTGCTATTCCCAGTGCCATTCCAGCACCGTTCCTGTGCTATTCCCAGTGCCATCCCTGTGCCATCCCAGCACCATTCCTGGTACCATTCCCACTGCCATCCTGGTGTCATTCCCAGCCCTATTCCGGTTCTGTTTCCACGCCATCCTGTCAGCCATCCCGGTGCCATCCCGGTGCCATCCTGTGCCATTCCTGTGCCATTCCCAGTGCCATCCCTGGTGCCATCCCAGCACCATTCCTGGTTCCATTCCCAGTGCCATCTTCGGTCCCATCCCAGTTCTGTTCCCGTGCCATTCCTGGTACCATTCCCAGTGCCATCCTGGTGCTATTCCCAGTGCCATTCCAGCACCGTTCCTGTGCTATTCCCAGTGCCATCCCTGTGCCATCCTGTGCCAATTCCTGGTACCATTCCCACTGCCATCCTGGTGTCATTCCCAGCCCTATTCCGGTTCTGTTTCCACGCCATTGCCACTGCCATCCCGGTGCCATCCCGGTGCCATCCTGTGCCATTCCTGTGCCATTCCCAGTGCCATCCTGGTACCATTCCTGGTGCCATTCCAGCACCATTCCCATGCCATTCCCAATGCTATCCCGGCGGTACTCCTGGTACCATCCCATTTCCATTCCTGTGCCATTCCCATCCCTATTCCGGTTCTGTTCCTGTGCCATTTCCAGTGCCATCCCAGCACCATTCCCGTGCCAGTCCCAGTGCCATCCTGGTGCCATTCCCGCTCCCATCCCGGTTCTGTTCCGGTGCCATTCCCAGTGCCATCCTGGTGCCGTTCCCGGTGCCATCCCAGCACCATTCCTGGTCCTATGCTGGCTCCATCCCGGTGCTGTTCTCAGTCTGGTCCTGGTGTGATCCCAGCACCGTTACCAGTACCATTCCTGGTGCCATCCCAGCAGCATTCCCAGCCCTGTCCCAGTTCCACCTGGGACCATCCCAGTGCCATTCCTGGTGGCATTCAGGGTCCTATCCCAGTTACATCCTGGTGCCATCCCAGCACCATTCCTGGTACCATTCCCAGTGCCATCCCAGCACCATTCCCTGTGCCATTCCTGGTCCTATCCTAGTTCCATCCTGCTGTTGTCATGGGGCCATCCCAGCCCCATTCCTGGCACCGTTCCTGGTTCTGTTCCAGCCCCATTCCCGGTGCCATCACCTGATCATCATTCCCAGCGTTGTTCCCATCTCATTCCCATTCCTGGTGCTGTTCCTAGTCCTGTCTCAGTTCCATCCCTGATGCTATTCCCATTCCCATTCCCGCCCCATTCCCATTCCTGCCACATTCCCATTCCTGCCCTATTTGCATTCTCATTTTCCCATTCCCGTTCCCATTCCTGCCCTATTTGCATTCTCGTTTTCCCATTCCCAGTCTCTTTTCTGTTCCCATTCCCATTTTCCCATTCCCATATTCCCGTTCCCATATTCCCATTCCTATTTCCCCATTCCCATTCCCATGTTCCTGTTCCCATATTTCCATTCCCATTCCTGTTCCCATTTTCCCATTCCCATATTCCCATATTCTCATTCCCATTTTCCTGTTCCCATTCCCATATTCCCATTTTCCTGTTCCCATGTTCCCATTCCCATGTTCCTGTTCCCGTGTTTCCTTTCCCATTCCTGTTCCCATATTCCCATTCCCATTTTCCTGTTCCCATTTTGCCATATTGCCACCCCGGCATATTCCCATATTCCCATATTCCCATATTCCCACGTTCCCACATTCTCATGTTCCCATATTCCCATTCCCACATTCCCATGTGCCCGTTTTCCCATTCCCATATTCCCATTCCCACATTCCCACATCATTCCCATATTCCCATTCCCACATTCCCGTGTTCCCATATTCCCACATTCCCGTGTTCCCATATTCCCACATACCCATGTTTCCATGTTGCCACATTCCCATGTTCCTGTATTTCCACATTCCCGTATTCCCACATTCCCCCACCATTCCCACATTCCCCCACCATCCTTCCCCCAT